GACCTTCCGCACAACACCCACACCCTCCGCCTCAGGAGGACTTGCTACACTGCGAGTCAGAGGGATCAGAGCGCTAAGGTGGAGCGGGGGTGTCAGGGACCCACTTTACCACAGCGCTCTTTTGGTAAGGATCTTTCAGGGAACATGCTCAGCCCATAAGACCCATCCCCTGAGGCCACCCACTGCCACCACCACCTAGTGTGGAGCCACGATAGCCGTTTTCCTGCACTTGGCCACAGTGCTGGGACCTATTGGCACAACTCTAGCCAAGCAAGGCCACTCAGGTTCTTTCCTAGAGATTCTGGTGCAGTTTGCACTGACGGCTGAAGGCAAGCGTGGATGGTGAAGAGCAGCCATCTTCCACCCCTCGCCAGAGAGGGCAAGAAACGCTGATGCCATAACCCGTGGATAGAGCGTCAGCCTGCAGACTGAAGGGTCCCGGGTTCGATTCCGGTCAAGGGCATGTACCTTGGTTTCGGGCACATCCCCAGTGGGAGGTGTGCAGGAGGCAGCTGATCGATGTTTCTCTCTCATCGATGTTTCTAGCTCTCTATCCCTCTCCCTTCCTCTCTGTAAAAAATCAATAAAATACATTTTTAAAAAAATCACAGAGTCTTAGATTCTCTTTAAAAAAAAAAAAAGAAGAAAAGAAACGCTGATGGCAGGAGGGAGCCAAGAAGGGGAGCCCCAGGATTCTGAGAGCGAGCAGCTGTTGATACCCGTCAACTTCCCAGGTCCCACTGCCGAGTCCTTAAGGGAGAATTGAACATATCCCCTCCCCAGCCTCAGAAGTATGTGCCCAGGGACTGTCCTGGGATGGGAGCAGGCCCTTCCCTTTGGAAACTACTGGCACATGGTACTAGAGACACCTGACCTTAGCTCCTGTTCCAGGTGTCTTGCTGTGTGAGAAACCACTCTGAGACTTAAGTGGCTCCAAACCATTTATCATGATCCTGGATTTTATTTTATGTTTTTTATCCTTATTCAAGGATATGTGGTGGTGGTGGTGGGGTTGGTGTGTGTGTGTGTGTGTGTGTGTGTGTGTGTGTTATTTATATGAGGAGGGGAGGAATGAAGAGGTGGGGAAGTGTGAAGGGGCAGTTGGGAGGAATACTTATAAGAAGGAAGAGTGAAGATAAGGGGGTAAGGTTTCTGGAGACAAACTTTTTCTCCTCTACAATATTGCTTCATGATGGCCCATTTATTCTCCTACTAAGTTTTAAGCATATTTATTTAATCCTCACCTGAGGATATTTTTCCATTGCTTTTTAGAGAGAGTAGAAGGGAGGAAGGGGGGGGGAAGGAGAGAGAGAAACATCTATGTGAGAAAGAAACATCAATTGGTTGTCTCCCATACTCACTCTGGCCGGGGATTGAGCTCACAACCTAGGCATATGCCCTAACCAGGAATGGAACCCGCAACCTTTGGTGTACAGGATGATGCTCCAACCAACTGAGCCACCTGGCCAGCGCTATTTTTTTTATAATCCACTTCTAGAGTAGGGTATTTATTATAAACTTGCTCAGTAGAAGAATAAGAGTCTGTTTTGTTTATGAGATTGCAAAACACTCAAGAAGCTTGACTATTGAGACATGTATTGAACCCAGAGCCCACACAACACCAAAGAAATGATGTTTTTTAAAAATATATTTTATTGATTTTTTTACAGAAAGGAAGGGAGAGGGATAGAGAGTTAGAAACATCAATGAGAGAGAAACATTGATCAGCTGCCTCCTGCACACTCCCCACTGGGGATGTGCCCGCAACCAAGGTACATGCCCTTGACTGGAATTGAACCTGGGACCCTTGAGTCCGCAAGCCGACGCTCTATCCACTGAGCCAAACAGGTTAGGGCAAGAAATAGTGTTTTGAAACAAGAAGCAATTTTAAAAATAAAACTGGCCAAATAATAGGTTGATCATTTAGCATTTAATTGAGTTATAAAATATCTCCCCTAAAATGTCTTTTTAAAAATATATATTTTATTGATTTTTCACAGAGTGGAAGGGAGAGGAATAGAGAGTTAGAAACATCAACGAGAGAGGAACATCGATCAGCTGCCTCCTGCACACCCCCTACTGGGGATGCGCCCGCAACCAAGGTACATGCCCTTGGCCGGAATTGAACCTGGGACCCTTCAGTCCACAGGCTCTATCCACTGAGCCAAACAGGTTAGGGCAAGAAATAGTGTTTTGAAACAAGAAGCACTTTTAAAAATAAAACTGGCCAAATAATAGGTTGATCATTTAGCGTTTGAGTTATAAAATATCTACCCTAAAATGTCTTGACAAAAAAATATATTTTATTGATTTTTCACAGAGCGGAAGGGAGAGGGATAGAGAGTTAGAAACATCGATCAGCTGCCTCCTGCACACCCCCTACTGGGGATGCGCCCGCAACCAAGGTACATGCCCTTGGCCGGAATCGAACCTGGGACCCTTCAGTCCACAGGCCGACGCTCTATCCACTGAGCCAAACAGGTTAGGGCCCCCTAAAATGCTTTTTAATCTAACTTGGGGTTTGATTCACTAATAAGTCTAGAAATACAGTCTATTGTAGTCACAGACACCCACAAATATGCCATCGGGGAATGAAAAATCGTGTATTTTGAGGGTTGTGTTATTGGGACCATGACCTTCATTCCAGGGACCCCAAAGTTGCTTGTACTAACTCAGGAGAGGTCACCCGATTCCCAGAGAGAAACAGGAAGAGAACAAAAAGAATGAACACTTCCCTTTCTGACAACGGTCCCTTTCTGCAGGTGCCTGGCATGATCTGATATATAAGGCACAGTCACTTTCCTGTGTAGAGAATGTCTTGGAGGGGCCAGGGTAGCAGAAGCAGGGAAATCAGTTAGGATGGGGTGGTAGATATCTAGAGGGAAGATGGGGTGACTTGGATTAGGGTGGTGATGAGGGATGCAGGAGAGTTGCCTCCCAATCTTTTTTGGAGTCAGTGTTGGATTAGATGTGAGTGCAGCAAAGAGAGGAATCAGAGATGAATCCCAAGTTTTGGCCTTGAGCAACTGGAGACTGTTGTAAGTTTCCCACCCTTGAAGACCCATGCATGTCAGGAACCTGGAACACACAGTCGCCTAGGCTTGGTTGCTACAGTCACTTTCTAACGGGACTCTGGTTCCCTAAGAGCTTTAGGGCTTTCCGGTGAGAACATGCCATTACACCAAACACCACAGCTCCCTGCTGCCCTCTGCTGCCTGGTGGCAATAGTGTCAGGGAAGGAGTCGGTGAGAGGCATGTGGATTCAGAAACCCCAGGGTCCAGGGGCTGAGGTGACCCAATGTCAGAGACGGGAGATGACCGAGTGACTGGGGGAGTATTGATCCAGGGGTCCGGGAGCTGAAGGGCCAGGCGATTCATTATCTGACATCTGTCGACTTTGTGACCACAACATTCAGTGGTCGAGCAACCTCAAGACCCTGCAGCTTCGGACCCAGGGGCTGAGGACAGAGGCCATGATTGCGGGCTCGGGGATCCAGGATGAAGAAGCTTCATGACCGCGTTCAGAGGCTGCTGTTGGACCCTCCCCCGGCAGCTCTCCCACCGCTGGGAGCCGCACCAGCCTCCCTTGGCTGCTCATTGGTGGGGCGTCGGAAGCGTGGACCAATCAGAACCCTCCTCGTGTCTCCAGCTCCCTCCTCTGGAAAGCTGGCCGCGACGAGCCAATGGTAGGGCCGGCGGAGCGCCGTGCGGATCCGCGATTGGCTGCCGCGAG